ACTCCCAAATGTCCTCCCATGGGACTATGGTGGGCGAAACTAATAGCCAATTCTCTAAAGGTGCTAGGTAGCACTACTAGATGTTTGCTGGTAGACAGATGATCATCGGAAGACAAAAGAGACTTTTATATTCTCATTAATATACCATTAGCAAGATAGTAACAATTGTCCAGGTCTTGGGCGTCGTCTTCTGTAATAGCTATCTCTCGTAATTTCTCTGGGGATGGATCAAGGAACTGATCCCTTATTAAATCTTCTTTTGATAGCATTTTAATATCAGAATCTTGAAAAGGGCTGATCATAGAATATTTCAGATTTGAAGATCCGGGTTGTAAGGATCGGCTGAACAATAAATCGAGACCTAAATCTTCGCCTTCGGATTTTGAGGCGCTCTAGACATTGCTTTGGTTATAACATTGAGAGGAAATAAGGTAGGAGCCTCTTTTCGAGCTTCTATGGCATAGTTAATGTCAGTAGAATTATCAATAACTAGAGGCTCTCGGCTTATACCCGGATAGTCTAAATCATTGCCTATGAGTAAGTCAACGCCCTGAATAGGAAAAGTTTCACTGGGTATACCTACCGACACAAAGCCAGTATAGGTTGGTGTTTGGATGTATATCCTGTGAAGAGGCACTCTGATAATGGCGCCTCCATAGGCTTCTAATAAGACATCTAGCTTTGTGCGAGTCATATCACTTACGGGAAGTATGTCCTGCTTCAACAATGTTAAATAACTTCCAGTATCACGGAAGGAATTAATTTCAACTAATTGAGTCTCGTCTATTCCAACTTTCACTTTAGCAAAGTAGGGACTCATAGCTGAGTGAATATCTTTTTCTGAAACAGCTCTAGTATTGAGTCATCTAGAATGACTACTGATTCGTTCTTGTGAACCTTGTTCGGTACTAGGGCTCAGTTTCTTTTGAGTTGTCGATGAAGATATTACCTGAGTTGGGAAACGAAGTCGCTCGTTCCTGGTATCCCTCTCTAGCCAATAAGTGTTTCCTTAAATGCCCTTTCTTATTACAATAAGTGCAGTTCAACTCACTGTTATGCCTTAGTGGTTTTGAACTTTTCCTAGAGTTAGATCTAAATTAATGGGCGTGGAGGCTTCATAGGAGGTCGGACAAGGATTCTGTATGCGACGCATCTCTGTAAAATTGGATCGTCCTTTCTTAGGGGCATATTTAGTCACTGTTTCCTTACTTTTTGTTTCGCCAATCAATTGTTGAGATATTTCATAATTATCGGCGAGCGAGGCTGTTTCTAGTATATTTACTATGGGGCAACTAATCAAATACCTATGCAAGTCTTCTGGTAAATTATTATAGAAATCCTCATGCAGGATCAATTGGGAAAGACTTTCCATAGATTTACAGTTAGAAGCTCTACACCATCTCTCAAAAAGCTATTTTCTTTTCACGTGCAAAATCTACATACGACTGAGTTGGCTGGCGTTTTAATGCTCTAAAGGTTTTTTGATAACTTACTGGGAGGAGATCATAAGCCTCTAGGATAGCCTTCTTAACAGAATCATAATCCACATATTTCTCAAAAGGTAACGTAGCCGTACAACTTTGAGCTTTACCAGACAACGAAGTATGTACATAAGGTTGCCCAGTGTTGTCGGGGCCAGCGCATAGCACGTGCTTGATTCTCAAAGACTTCAAAATAAGTATCTAAATCTCCGTCATTAAACCTTGGAACCATAGATGAAGCTTTTTGTATGCTGAAAGAATCATTTGAGGATTCAGTACATCTTTCACTCACATTACCTTGTTGTTGTTGTCTTATATAGCGGAGCATTTCCCTTTGAAAGTCTTCTTCATTTAATTTACACTGAGCCTCAATTTGAGCAGTCTGTAAAATAAATAGTCTCTCTAATTTCTCAAACTGACTGAGAAATATGCCCCGATGGTATCGAGAATGAGGGAATTGAACTGGCGGTATGTGGATATTCCTTTGGACGTGCACCTTGGTGAGGGGCAGGCTGACCATTAATAGGAATTCCTTCAGTAACGGGCGAATGCCGAACAGCGGCTGCACCCTGCAGTACTTCATCTACTTTCCTAGAGGCCAAAGTGGGACCTAATCTATCTGATTCAATTTCAAGATCAACTCTTTGAAATTTTTCTTCTAATAATTCGAATCTCAACTAGTAGCTTCCTTGAGAAACTAAACTTTCAGAGTCAGAATCTCCTGCTACATGATGGTTAGAGGCCCCTGGAAACAATTTGTTTCTAATTATTGCCCTTACGGTATTGGCTGTGTAATATCTATCGTATGGTACTCCCAACTTACGGGCTATCTGCCAGCACGTTTGAAGTTTCAAGGAGTCCAGCTTCGACAATGTTAAATCTTCAAATACTGTAACTCTTTAATGTGATCTTCCATGATCAATATTTTGAAATTAACTAAAGATAAATTCCCAGTATATGACTTCTTTTTGATCAATGTCTTAGAACAACAGAGCTCCCGGACGGGTAACCCATTTGTTGCGAATAAGAAATTTTTTAAAGAACTTCAGAATGTGGCCTGTTACCATTTATTTCTTAGGCAACAAAATTTTTGGATCCGAGTTATTTAAAGGTATTTTAGAGTCTAGGGGAAATAATTTCAACTGGGAAACTCCATAGAATAATATTCAGATTTATTAAAGTATTTAAATACAATACTTTATCTTCTCTTTGTAGTTAATGTAACTTAATACTTTGTACAATAAATTTACCATATACATTTAGTTCAAAATCATGGAAATGTCACATTAATAAGGAAGTTTAATTATTCTTCCTGTAATTAAGACTTCAATAACATTTATGTCTTTGTCTTAAGACTGTAAACTCAAAATACAAAAGGTACAAGATTTAACAAGACCTTTGAATCTGGCCGTAAAGTATCTCTATGGATTACTGAACTGACCAAGAATATAAATATAAAAAAAAAATCTTTCAGAGCAATTAGGAACAAACTGAGTCAGCTCTAGAGTCCAATTCTCAAAACCATTCAAACTGTACACCGTAAGAGCCAATATACGATCAGTTGTCAGGGCTAGAGCAGGGAGTGGACTGACTACTTGCCAGTCTGTTGACGCGTCGTCAGGTTGGATCAGCTGACACAAACGTCAGCCAGCCGGACATAAACAATTGAACAATTCACCGGATAGTTCTGAGACTTAAACTCTCTTTACACAAGAAATCCTACCTAACAATAATAATAAAATAATAGTGATAATAACAAAATAGCAATAATACCATGGTATTTTTCATATATTAACAGATAATAATATAACGCCGAAAGTCTCTATTGTAGCTATAAACGGGGACTTTCGCGCTATAATATCAAGTGATGAACATATTCTCTTACAATAGTTAAATAACACAGGATGACCAATTTCGAAGATATAACAGTGGTTGCAAGGGTCAAATTCTGGCTTTTGGCCCCACCTCTTCAATGGTCACTGCTATGTTCACTCTCTTCTGGCTTAAAGAGCCTTGTCATGCCTCTTCTTAAAGCTGTGTATGGATCCTGTTTCTACCATTTCATTCTCTAGGTTATTCCACTTTCTGACTACTCTAAGGCTGAAGAAATACTTCCTAACATCCCTGTTACTCATCTGAGTTTTCAACTTCCAGCTGTGTCCCTTATGTTCTCATTTTCCATCTCAGACAATCTGCCCTTACTCACCCTGTCAATTCCTCTCAGCATTTTGTATGTTATTGTATCATATATGTTATTGAGTGTGTTGTGTAATTATTTTTTTTGTCATATTTATAGTGAATTTAGAAATATTAAGTCAAGGTTGCTTCATTTAGCTGCACTGTACCAACATTCCCTGTGACCTTGGGTGGACAGAAACTTGGGCCAGGGTCCTCTTTTTGCCTTGCAATTTTTTAGGTGAATTTTAAATTACAATAGTCCAGGCTTTAATATAAAATAACTATTTTTATGTATTTTAGTTTTCTTTCAACAAACCAGCTGTATCCCACCGAGGAAGGGCGGCCCAAAAAGAAAAAAAACGTTTCTCTTTTTAAATTTAGTAATTTATGCAGGAGAAGGGGTTACTGCCCCTTGCTCCCGGCATTTTAGTCACCTCTTACAACACGCATGGCTTACGGAGGAAGAATTCTGTTCCACTTCCCCATGGAGATAAGAGGAAATAAACAAGAACTAGAAAGAAAATAGAAGAAAACCCAGAGGGGTGTGTATATATATGCTACATGTATGTGTAGTGTGACCTAAGTGTAAGTAGAAGTAGCAAGACGTACCTGAAATCTTACATGTTGAGACAGAAAAAAGACACCAGCAATCCTACCATGTAAAACAATTACAAGTTTCCGTTTTACACTCGCTTGTCAGGACGTTAGTACCTCCCTGGGCGGCTGCTGTCTACCAACCTGCTACCTACATTTATTAGTTATAAAATTAATTGTATTTCCAGTACGTTTTTCATACAAAAACATCAATCTACTAGTCATTAATTAAATCTTGAATAAATATCTTGGCTGATAAATTAGTTATCCTCCAGTTTTATTTTACCTTCTCCAGTTTTATCAAAACATTTCATGAAGCTACAAAATATTGTACTTGGATATGATGAAGATTCCAGAGACAAATGTCTATTATAGTGTACACCAAGTTTTTTAATACCTACTATTAAAGCAGCATATGCAGTATTCTTGATTTTAAGTGTACAGGTGTGTTTGGTTTATTAGCTTAATTATTCATCCCATAGTGTGAACTGCTACCTAAATGACCCATTTGCAGTTGATACATTTTAAACATAGGATTCTAAGTTCCACCTTCATTGCAGACTTGCTTTTTACTTGAACTAACCTATTGCACCAATAGTGACACCCATTTGTACTTCTAACCCTCCAGTCTTCTATCCCCCTAAGGAATGCACCCTTTTCCAAATGCAATTCTGTATATCCCCTCCCCACAGGTTTAGTGCTCTATTTTGAATATTGTAATTTGGACCTAACAAACTATTGGTACAGGTGGCTGTTATACAAGTCTGTGGACCCAGGGCTGGTGCTACGCTGGCTGGTGTCGGAACTTCACGATGCAGAGAAGAGAGGCGAATTGGTGCATATCATTGGTCACGTACCACCATACTATACTGACTGCTATTCCCAGTGGGCACACCAGTTCTCCAGAATAGTCACTAGGTATTATATTTAATAAAGCACTAAATTCATAATGTCATTCAGTGACAGGTTTCAAAAAAGTTTTTGATGTAGAATAACTCTTTGGAGGGATATGTTGTGTATCTTTATACGTACAGTGGACCCCCGGTTAACAATATTTTTTCACTCCAGAAGTATGTTCAGGTGCCAGTACTGACCGAATTTGTTCCCATAAGGAATATTGTGAAGTAGATTAGTCCATTTCAGACCCCCAAACATACACGTACAAACGCACTTACATAAATACACTTACATAATTGGTCGCATTCGGAGGTGATCGTTATGCGGGGGTCCACTGTATATGCTTCTAAACTGTTGTATTCTGAGCACCTCTGCAAAAACAGTGATAGTGTGTGGGTGTGGTGAAAGTGTTGAATGATGATGAAAGTATTTTCTTTTTGGGGATTTTCTTTCTTTTTTGGGTCACCCTGCCTCGGTGGGAGACGGTTGACTTGCTGGGGGGGGGGGGGGGGGGAACTCTACAAACTCAAGTGTGTGAATTGCAATTCTAGTCTCCCTTCCCCTTCCTCCTATCTCCTAGGATGTCTCCTACAACAGTTGTGCAACACATGGGTATACAAACAGGCCCTGCATTACAGCACTGTTTTCTCATTTTTCATTTATTCAGACTTCCTACAATAAATATATTCACCACTCTATAAGCTAAGGTTGAAAATATTTTAAGTAATGTGTGTACTGTATATGCATTTTTCAGGCCTAGCTAGATTGATCACCTAATATGATAGTGTAAACATGTTATCAGGCTTTTATATGCATTTGAAAGTGAAAAAAAGGCCGATTCATTTTACAGTAATTTTTTCTTGTATTCTTCTGTTAGGTGAACATAGGAAGCAGGTGTAAGGAACCTTGCCTACAAGTCTCATTGCCAAGTATGCAATCCACAGCAGTCTACAAACAATTAGACATCTTTATTATGCACCCCATATCCATTCTGTGGTGAATAGAATAATAAAGAATAAAGATTTCATTTCTTTGTAAAGGTTACAATGTGTAATTACAATTTTGGTTTGCTAAGTACAAAGAAAGCCACTATCATGCTAGGGCATTTCGGGCAGACTAATCCTAATACATAATCGGAGGATTGCAGAGGCACATAAATTTATTTATTTATTTATTTATTTATTTAAAAATTTGAGCACACATACAGAGGTACAAAAAAATACAGATAAGAGCAGCATGCCAAAGCCACTTATACTATGCATAGCATTACGGGCTGGCTTAAAATTAACTTAAGATGAACTAAGCAATGATGACATCAGTGATAAAACTTTAATGTAAACAGATAACTATAAAGCACAAGTGAGTATTACAAAGACAGGTCATATGGTTGTATGCATTGTTGTACATTCAGTAGAATGGAGTATTCTGTTAGGTAGTGTATTTAAAAAATAATAAAGTTAGATTGGGTTTTAGGTTTAACATTTATGTGATATAATTGTGAGAAACATTTAAGATATACAATTTATAAGGTTCAGTTATTCAGTATTTATTTGGTTTTGGGTGAGTAAGTGATCTTTGAGAAGAGACTTGAATTATAAACAGGTAGTGTTTCTTTTATATTTACAGGTAATGAGTTCCAGATTTTAGGGCCTTTTATGTGCATTGAGTTTTTGCATAGTGTGAGATGGACACGAGGAACATCAAAGAGTGATCTGTGCCTTGTGTTATGGTCATGTGTTCTGTTGAGGTTGGCAAGGAGATGTTTGAGGGGAGGGTTAATATCAGAGTTAAGTGTTCTATGTATGTAATAGGTGCAGTAATAAGTATGAATGTTTTGTATGGTGAGTAGGTTTAGTGTATTGAATATTGGTGGAGTGTGCTGCCTATAGTGAGAATTTATCATTCTAACTGCAGCCTTTTGTTGGGTATTAGTGGTCTGAGATGGTTACTTGTTGTTGAGCCCCATGCACAAATTCCATAGGTGAGATAGGGGTAAATAAGAGAGTGATATAGGGCCAGGAGGGCTGACTGTGGAGCATAGTACCGTATCTTCGATAGTATGCCTACAGTCTTGGAAATTTTCTTAGAAATTTGTTGTATATGTGTATGAAATTTGAGTCTATTATCAAGGTGGATTCCTAAGAATTTTCCCTCTGTTAGCTTTGTGATAGGTGATCCGTTTATCATTATGTTAAGAGGGACATCTGTAGCTCTGTTACCAAACTGAATGAAGTAGGTTTTGTCAATGTTTAGTGTAAGTTTGTTAGTCCTCATCCAGGTAGATATTTTCTGTAATTCGGTATTTACAGTATTGGCTAGCGTGACTGGGCTCGGGTGGAGAAGACGTATGTAGTGTCATCTGCAAATAGTGTGGGTTTGAGTAATTGCGAAGCATTTGGTAGGTCATTTATGTATAGGAGAAAGAGAAGAGGGCCAAGGACACTTCCTGTGGGACACCAACTGTAATTGGTTGTGCAGAAGAGTTTGCCCCATTTGCATACACATATTGGCTTCTGTTGCTGAGGTATGACTTGAGGTAGTTGAGGGAGTGCCCTCTTATACCATAGTGTGACAATTTTTACGTGGAGCAAGTCATGTTAACTGTATCAAAAGCTTTACATAAGTCAATGAAGATCCCCAGTGGGACTTCTTTTTTCTCTATTGCAGTGTATATATGTTCTAGCATGTGTATAATAGCATCATTAGTATTTTTATTTGGCCTGAATCCAAATTGGCAGGGGTTGAGTATGTTTTGGGAGATAAGGTAGGAGTAGATTCGTTTATGAATTAATTTTTCGAAGATTTTTGAGAGAGGGTGTAAGTTGGATATTGGCCTATAGTTATTCAACTCTGTTTGGTCTCCTCCTTTGTGGATCGGGGTGACCCTTGCTATTTTGAGTACTGTAGGGAAGGTGGAGGATTCAATGGATTTGTTAAAGAGTGTTGCAATGATTGGTGATAGCACTTGTGACTTGTGACACTTTTTTGTATATAAAGGGTGGTAAGGTATTTAAATCTCCTGCCTTGTTTTTTAGCGTGTTGATAATAAGGGAGACTTCGTATGGGTTAGTCGGAGCTAGGAACAGTGTGTTCGGGTAGTTGCCAGTGAGGTAGTCATTTGGTGGGGTATCTGAGCTTGGGATTTTATTGGCAAGGTTTTGTCCTATAGTGGAGAAGAAGTCATTGAGTCTGTTTGCTGTTTCTGTTGGTGGGAGTTGGGGTTCATCTGATTTTGCTAATTTTATTTCGCTATTTCGTGATATCTTTTTTGTTCCTAGAATTTCTGATAGGGTTTTCCAGGTCTTTTTTATATCACCTCGTAAGTTGGATAATCTGTTCTCATAATACAATTTTTTTTGCCCTTCTATCAGGCTGGTTAGGATTGACGAGTAACGTTTGTTTGGTCTCTGGTTATGTGACCCATTCTGTACTGTTTTTCATATTGGTGTTTTGTATTTATGGATTTGAGAATGCTGGGTGTTAACCAGGGACTGTTCAGTCTCTTAGCTGTCATCTGTTTAGTTTTTTTAGGGCAGTGCTTGTTATAGAGGTATTGGGTCTTTTTTAGAAAATTATTAATACATTCGTCAATATCTGTATAGATTCTAGCTCAGTGTGCCAGTCAATGTTTGCTACTGCTGTTGTGAAGTTATTAATGGCTGCCTCATTGTGAAGTCTGAAGGTGACTTTAGTAGTGTCTTGGGGTAATTTACCAAGAGTTGTTATGAGAAAAGTAGGTAGTGGTCTGTGGTATTATCTGTAATTATGCCTGATTTTAAAGGGGATATGGTGTTGGTCCAGATGTGGTCAAGTAGGGAAACACTAGTCTCTGTAACTCTTGTAGGTTTTGTTACTGTTGGTTAGCAACATACAGTTACTCATTGTGTTTGTGAATTCAGTAACGTGTGGGTCCTGGTCTTGCAGGAGATTTATATTGAAGTCACCTGAGAGTAGTAAGTGATCTTTGTTCATGCGTGCATCAGTTATCATACTTCCTAGGTTTTGACTAAATTGGCTAATGTTTGACTGTGGAACTCTGTAAATGTTTATCAATGTGAGAGGTTTTTGTAGGTATTTGGATTTGAATTTGGCTATTATATATTCCCCATGTTCATCCCTTGTGCAAGTATTAGTGATACATTCTAGTTGGTCTGAGTAGTATATGGCTGTGCCACCCCCTTGTTGGTCTGGCCTACAGTTGTGTATGGCTGTGTAACCAGGAATGGCATAGACATCTGTACTATCAGGCTTTAGCCAGGTTTCAGTTAGTGTAATGATGGACATATTGGCATGTAGGAATTTAGTAATGCTATGAGGTCATCGTAATGCTTGCTTAAAGATCTGATATTGTAGTTAAAGATAGTTATGTTGTTGTTGGCACTGAGAAGTGCCTTGATTGTTCTGCAGTGTAGTAATTACAGTAACTGTTGATTCATTTAAGTCATTAAATAAGAGGTTGGTATCAGGATCAATGCTTGTAATCATAAGATTTGTAGTGAATCTATAGTTAGAATTAAGTATAAAACAAAGTAAATAGTCTTAAGCTAAAAAAATAGCACCTGAATTATTTAACAAATGTAAAATAATGAGCTAAGGTAGTTTTTTTTTTTTTTTTTTTTTTTTTTTAAGCTAAAATAAAGGAGACAATATAAAAGGGACTAATACAAATAAAGTGATAATCAAATAATGGAGCTTGGGAAATATGATAGTAGGTAGTACTATAAAGGTAATTCTTTAAAGTTAGAATTATAGTATAAAATAATAATATAAAAGGGACTAATGTAAGTTGTGGTGAACAATAAAGTGGTAATCAAATAAATGAGCTTTGGAATATAATGGCAAAATTGTGAACTTATTCTACTTTAGCACCTGAGAATAGCACCTTGATTATTTTAACAATTGTGAATGTATAAACTAGGGTAGTTATATAAAGCTAAAATAAAGGAGAAAATAATAAGGACTAAAATTAAGTAATGGTAAACAAAGTTAAATGGACAGGTGGTCACTATGAAATAATATTGGTTTAGGAGTAAGATCTGATTTGTAATATTAAATAAATTGAGCAGTTTATTGTACAATAAAAGTAAAAAAAATGAGGTAGTTGGTACTAGCTAGCAAAGATAGTTTTGGTACTTGCAAAAAAGTAATTGAATATACACTAGTTGCATACACAATGAAAAGTGACTAAAAAAAACAAGTAGTGATAAACAAAAATTAAATGGACAGGTAAGAATAATGAATATTATTAATTTGGAGTAAGATTTGACTTGTAATTTAAAATTATGAGCAATTAATAGCAGTAAGAAAGAAGTATAGAGTATTGGAGGTATTTCATTAGCTAGTGATGAAAAAATAATAAAAATAATAATGTAAATATAATAGTAACGTACACTATATGCACCACACGTATATATGTATTAAGGGCACTTATCTAATCTGTTACAGAAATGCCAGCTTTTTTTAAGGAAGGTAGAGAAATCGTGTTCATTTGAGATAGTATATTGTTGTCCTGTTGATGTTTTCCTTACTAGTATTTTCCCATCTCGCGTGAAACACTGATGTATTTTGTTTTCCTGTTTAAGTTTTCTCAGCCTGAACAGAAGGTTTTGACGTTTTTTTGTTAGACACTCATTTATGTACACTCCATTTTTCATTGTAATTGCTGATTTAATTAGGTCCTTTCTTTTATCGTATGAATGAAGTCGGATCATTATACTGTGTTTACTTCCTGGTTTTCCTAGCAAACGTGTTTCTTTGATTTCATTGTTTTGCACGATGACTTGTATGTGGTTCTGTATTATCCTGATAGCAGTTTCTTTGCACTGTGCTTGTGTTATGTCACTAGGGATGTGTGGACTGTTTATTATAACTGCATCAGACAACTTATCTTGTTCAGTTTTGTCGTCTTGGAAATCAAGGTATTCATTTAGTCGAGTGTGCATGTTCTGATTCCAGTCCTTGATTGCTTCTTCAACCTTCATATTTATTGTTGTTATTTGCTCAGTGTGACTGGCTATGGCTGCTTTTAGAGTATTTTCTGTGTCAACACTTCCCGATGTAATCTTCTCTTCAAGGTTTTGGATCTTATTCTCGAGGTTGGTTATCTTGGATTCTCGCCGCTCGAGTGTTGCTTTGATATCTTTGATTTCATTTTCTAGAGCAACGATGTAGTCCTTGATATTGTCAGGAATAATCATACCTGAGTTATCATGGGTGAATCCTTTGAAGGGAGTGGAGTTGGAGGGGGAGTCAGCCATGATTCAGGGACTGGCCCTAAATATTTATTTGGTAAATAAGTTAGTGATAAGATACTAATTACCATTTTATTGACTTTAAAATAATAGTTTACAGTCAGGAATTCAGTCAGAAACATCACAGTGTGGTTATACATGTATGCTTATTTACAGTACTCGGTATTTAGCAAGAATAGGTCACTACTTGAGCACAATTCAAAATTTCAGTGGGCTTCATATGTTCAAGCCTTTTGATGAAATTCTTTGATGTACTAAGTGTGAAATGGAGACAGAAAAAGTGGGTTTGACTATAGTAGTACAGTAGTTGAGGAAATCCAACATGAAGGAAAGAGGTACAGTTTTTTGTCTTTACAAAGTCCTTCAGAAGGTGACGAGTCACTTGCTCTTCCTCTAAAATACTGTACTTGTTTAAGTTGGGCAAGGCTGGAACTGTAAGGTACAGTTCACTCAGAACTCAAAGGGGATTTTTAATTTTTTTTGGCAGAGGAAAGTGCTACACATTTCTTACCAACATACTAATAGTATGATGACTTATATAGACCTATTGAAATATCAATTAGATTTGATTAGGCTAAAATTGAAAATGCCACTTAGGGTGAAATGAATTTTACAAATATGTAAGTGTGTTATCTCCAGAGCCACTGTCTCTGCCAGCATCTTCAAAACTACCATTATAAAACACCTTCTCTCACTAACATATCCCAACAACAACTAGATTTGGTGAAACTATAGTTTCATGTTTTCGTTCCCACAAGCATATGAACAACAATATATGTATTTTTATTCTCAGTATCTGTAATCCTCACAACCATTAAATATATTGAATGTATTCCAAATATGCTCATGCTAGAATCCTCATTACCTGTAAACCATAAACAATTCCTAAATTGTTAAAACCAATTAGAGACTGTATATACAAGCAATCAATCAATTATTGCCTTATTAGTCTTAAAATGGGATTAAGTTTGCTCGAAGTGTTCTGTGTACAAAGGGGCTTTTTGCATGCACACCTAAATGTCGCCCAAACATTGTATCATGCTAAAATAAGGAATCTTTATTCTTTACACACATGCTTTCCAAGAATGTTGTTCACACTTGCTGAAATATTATCAGTCATTTTGTCTCCATTTAATTTATAAAAATTCACTGATGCTATTACAATCTGCAAATTTTTTTTATGCAGTAACTATTGTTTATTAGTGATTAACATGATATTTCTGCACAGATATTCTCACATCATTAGAGGTCAGTTCTACGGACATTCTCACATGGACGAGTTTAGACTACACTATGATGTCAACTCTCCCCAGAAGCCTATTGGTGTCCAGTATATTACTCCAAACAATGGTCCCTTCAACAATCTCAATCCTTCATTTAGACTTTTCTACATAGATGGGGACTATCCAGAGACAACAAGGGTAATGTATATTTTCTTCCCACATACAGTAAGTTCATTTATTGTCATGGTAAATAAACTCCCAGTAGGTTGGTAGATAGCAACTGCCCTCGGAAGTCTTATTGTAATTATAAGTGTGTGAAAGTCCGCTTAAATATTTAACATTAAGAGTTAACCTCCCCAACCCCCCACCCAACCCCATGCAGATTGTATTAAAAAAAAAAAAAACACTTACTCTGCTAAACTTACTGTGTTTTCACCACCTCTGTACAAACATGCCATAAAATTGAAGATCATTGAACCAATTTAAATAAGTAATCCTTTTGTAATTGACAAATTGTCATTTGCACTCTTATTGTACTTGTTTGTAGTTAACATCACAAGAAGTCTTTCACAATATAGTACTGTCTTAATTTTTAAGTAGCATGCAAGCTTTGTGGGGCCCTTGACCTTGTGGCGCAAGGAGTAAAAGAAAAAATCGAAAAAATATGAAAGTTGAGTTGTTCTTACCAAAAAATAGCTGACCTTTCTGGCAACACTATGGAATAATTATCATCATTATACAATGTTTCTAAAAGGAATTAATCATTTATAACATGCATGGTGACAGCACCTCGAGTAGCATGCCCGCTGACACGGCATTTTTTTTTTTCTCTTGTATCTTTGCTTCTAATACAATACAAATTCACCATTTGAGATCATGGTGGATTGGGCAGAGCTAATATGGTCTAGGAACCAATCAGGAACATCCCCTGGGAATAAGTGCTGACATGGACACACACCAGCCAACAAAATATTCTATACTCACGCTAATATTAATTATAAGGCTTATTTACCTGTCACAATTGATCTAATGTGACATAAGGCGATATAATAATAGCATAGAAATATAAAAAGTACACCAGAACAAATATATAGCACAATATGACTCCTGAGAGGAAAGAATTTATGGACCAAAGCCATCTTGAGGCCATCATACCACTATGATGAGAGGAAACAGGGGTTGACGATGGCTAACTGTAATACACCCATAGGTTACGGAAAAAGTGTAAAAAATGCAAATTTTGGGGGGAAAAAAATATTTCCCTGCATACCTGGGCAGCCATGCATATTGGCCATTAACTTGGAAGTAAGTTATTTACCTATTTGGGAGCAGGCCATCATTATTTATGAACGAATTGACCTGATTTTCACAAGAAACATAAAAGAATGATTGCTTTACAAGATGTTGTGTACGTTTTTGAAGTATCCCAAATATTTTCAGATTTGTGTGGGCAACAAGGCCGATATCTTCCTAAATGTCAAAAAACTTATTAACTTGATTTTTTTTAGAATGAAGATAAGGTTTATTGTAGAATTAGTACTCGAGCAATGATGGAATTAGTGTTCTATCAGCAGCAAGTGTCAAAAGCAAGTACCACTTTGTAGGGGTCTGCTGCCAAATGTAATTTTTAGTAAACTTAGCTTTTTTCATTTGCTTTTTGGCTGATCTTTCTGAAACTTAATCAAAGCACGTTTGATATAAGCTTCTAATAGTACACCAGAAATGAACATAATCAGTCGACAAATAAAAGTCTACCCATTAGACTTACTCGGCCCCTTATGATTAGTTTCCTGAAATGCATTGCATAATTAGCATTTTTTTTTTTTTTTGTGCCTACCTTTGACTACTTCATGTATAACTATTATATTCCTTGTACGGCTCAAGAAATAAATTATTATTATATCCACTTGATCTCGTATATTCAGTTGGCTTTTGATGTTTCATTTATACACGTGTACACTTCTGTACAAAGTGCTTTACAATGTGTGCGAGAGATAGGGAAAAGCTCATCTGAATGTTTATCTTGGTCATTAGCTCATTCTAGAAGTACATTGATGAATGTGCTGCTACTCTCAGTCAAATTGTCCTAAAATGTGACTATCATACAGAGTAAAGTAACTACGCATTAGTTGTAAAAAAGAGTTTGCTTTAATAAAAGTATAATTGTCTTTGACTACCTTGTTAATGCCCTGATTATTTTGCATTGCCTTTTTTCACATCTTGTGACCTTCTGCAGAAAGTATTGGATTATGAGACTTGGGTAATGAATCTGACTCATGCCAACAAGTTTGATGCCCCCCACTGGTACCAGCTGTACTCTGCACGACGGGACCTCCAACTCCCCACACTGGACCCATATGATTGGGATCAACTTGTGCAGAGAATGGCACAGGATCCAGAACTCTTCAGCAAGTACCGCAGGTAAGCTGATTAAAAATTCAGCACTTTTCTTTTTGTTTTCTTTTGCTTTCCATAGGCTCATTGCTAGAAATATAAAATATGTAAATTGGATATTTATGGTGGGAAAAAGATGAGCTTTATTCAGGAAATCTACAAATTATTTGGAAGACAGTACCCTTCTAAAGGAGCCTTGATACTGTTGAAGGCCTATTTATCCAAGGAATTGAAGCTATCCTACTTTTCCTTAAGGTATTGTAAATTCTCCGGGTGCTGTATAACCCCATGGGCTTATTACTTTTCCATGAAAATTTAGTGGCATAAATTTGTACAATAGTTCTGCAGGCACACTGTTGTACACTTCAGTGGTACATGTGTATGTAGATTTAATCTAGATTAAACCCCCTAAAAAGTAGTGTTATATATTGCTATTAGAAACGGCCAGTTAGATCAGATTACAGTTTGTCCTATACGTCATATTAACCCTTTGAGGGTCGACAGGCCCTCTCCGAAACTCGTTCTCAGGGTCGGCCAAATTTAAAAAAAAAAATTATTTTCTCTTATGAAAAGATAGAGAATCTTTTCCCGATCATAAGGACACCAAAAGTTTGAAATTTGATGGAAAACTTACGGAATTATGCTCTCGCAAAGTTAGCGGTCTCGGCGATGTTTACGCATCTGCGATTTTGCCCACTTTGAGCCCCATTTTCGGCCAATTCCACTGTACTAGTCGACAAAAAACATGAATATTTCGCTAGAACTCCATTTTTTCTATCGAATGGGTGCAAGAAACCACCCATTTATGAAATTCAACTATCCAGTACAGTGGTCAGAATTTAGCAATTTTGCCAATTTCACACAAATTTCAAAAGATGCCAATTTCCGAATAGGGTCCAGAATAAACAAGAAAGACATTCCTGGCACTAAAATGACATTTCCTCTGGTCATTAGTCACGTCTCAAGGCCCCTCTTATATTATTTTGCTTTCCACTTTGAATTTTTATTCTCACAAAAAATATAAGATTTACTGTTATGCAGACTACTGCATTAGTGTAAAAAATGGTATAAATATTATTGGTGCACTTGAGAAAGAATATTAGACTCGCCAGTTGACGTGTATTGCACGCTTGGCACGATTTGTTTACTTTTGAAATTTGGTAAAAATCGAATATTTCTGCTACTTTGAGCTCAATTTCAAGGTACCTTTCATTGTAAAACCAGTCAAAATCATCTCAATTTCTGTAATATGTCTTCCATTCTATAAAGTGAGACCAAGAAAACTAGAATACAACAATAAATACCATACAAAAATACAGTGCAAAGTCGCTGTTTTATTCCAAAAAAATGGTAAAAGTTTTTTTTTTCTCATTATGCACTGTGTGCTGCAGGATTTTTTTTAGACTGCACACTGACCACATAGACCCATTCTTTCATATGAAGGCCCACCAGCTTTCTCCCACTAGATTTGAGGGCGCTAGAATTTAGGCGTACTAGATAAGATAAGATTTCGTTCGGATTTTTAACCCCGGAGGGTTAGCCACCCAGGATAACCCAAGAAAGTCAGTGCGTCATCGAGGACTGTCTAACTTATTTCCATTGGGGTCCTTAATCTTGTCCCCCAGGATGCGACCCACACCAGTCGACTAACACCCAGGTACCTATTTGCTGCTAGGTGAACAGGACAACAGGTGTAAGGAAACGTGTCGAAATGTTTCCACCCGCCGGGAATCGAACCCGGGCCCTCCGTGTGTGAAGCGGGAGCTTTAGCCACCAGGCCACCGGGCCACCTGGGTCATAAGCCGTACTAGTACGTCTGAAACCCTCAAAGGGTTAAAAGTTGCATTTTAATTCACACAAGGCAGATAGAGGCACTCTGAGGACCTTCGTTGTCTTCCACATGTAACAAAATAGATAAAATCTTGAATTCAGTAGTCTTAATGTTATTTTGACTTATTATGATTAGGGGGAACTGCTAAACTGGCAGGGGTCATACCGTGCCTGGGGATGGGAAGCAATTGGATTAGATCCAAGGAAGGGGAGGACTAGACCAATTCTGTGAATCGAGGGGGCCCCTCAGAAAGATCCAGTACAGGTCGACCATTACTAATCCAACATCATTGGGGCCTGTAGGGTGCCAGATTAGTGATTTTGGCAGATCACGGAGTGGTTAGGTTAGAATACACTTAACCCAACTATCCACCTCATTCTACCTTTAAAATACCTTGTAAATCAGTACAAGTTGGTTAATGAAGTTAACCAACTTTACTTACACAAGTGTCCTCAGATCACGAAGAACATCTAGCTCTGCTGGGTGCATGATCTTTGTAGGATCAATGGCTGAATGGATAAGTTGACATGTACATAGTGTTGTCTCTTGAGGCGGGACGATGCTTCGTGGGGTCGAACCTTGGCCTGCTGCAGTTTGGTAAATGATTGCACAAAGTTCATCACTGCCACATCCATCATGACTATGCAAATCAGAATTTTTGTTGTAGTAAATGTTTATTCATTTTAAAATTTCCTTTAAGTTACACCGTTAATTAGCACTAATTATTACACATCTCTTCTCCTTTGTATCACTGTTTTTAGCAGAATGTAATTTTTACTCTAATCATGCAAGTATATTTAATCTGTCTATTTTGTCTCTCCCATTTTCCTTGCATATATTCATATTCTCCACATAAATATATTTTAGCATTTTAAGAATAATTTTTTACTGAATTAGTGTATTTTACTGTTACTGATTCCTTCACTTATTGTATTTTTATAATCAGAACTAAGCATTAAACCCACAAGGGTCATCCAGTACTCATATTTTGTATATTGGTGCTTTTATTGTGCAGGTATATTACTACCTTTCTCTAGTTATACATGAATGGAGCGAAACAGAATGACTTCAAGAGTGTATCAGTCTGTAGTGGAAGGAAGGCAGGGTAGGGGTCGGCCTAGGAAAGGTTGGAGGGAGAGGGTAAAGGAGGTTTTGTGTGCAAGGGGCTTGGACTTCCAGCGGGCATGCGTGAGCGTGTTTGATAGGAGTGAATGGAAACAAATGGTTTTAATACTTGATGTGCTGTTGGAGTGTGAGCAAAGTAACATTTATGAAGGGATTCAGGGAAACCGGCAGGCCGGACTTGAGTCCTGGAGATGGGAAGTACAGTGCCTGCACTCTGAAGGAGGGGTGTTAATGTTGCAGTTTAAAAACTGTAGTGTAAAGCACCCTTCTGGCAAGACAGTGATGGAGTGAATGATGGTGAAAGTTTTTCTTTTTCGGGCCACCCTGCCTTGGTGGGAATCGGCCAGTGTGATAATAAAAGTAAAAATAAATAATTACTACCTTCCACTTGCATATATCTTTATATCCATGGCATTTGTTAAGAACTTACTTTTGCAGTTAATTGTAGCTTGCACACACAAATCTTTAAAAAATTCTTTACCCTGTGCATGTACAGTGGAACCTCGGTTTTCATATGCCCTAGACTGTATGTAAAACTATAGTTATTCTCTCTAAAATGTATTTTTTGTTAATATTTCCCATAAGAAATAATGTAAATCCAATTAATCCATTCCAGACACCTAAAAATATTAACAAAAAATACATTTTATAGAGAATAACTATCTTTATACGTATATGCTTCTAAACTGTTGTATTCTGAGCACCTCTGCAAAAGCAGTGATAATGTGTGAGTGTGGTGAAAGTGTTGAATGATGATGAAAGTATTTTCTTTTTGGGGATTTTCTTTCTTTTTTGGGTCACCCTGCCTCGGTGGGAGAAGACCGACTTGTTGAAAAAAAAAAAAAAATATATAGTTTTACATACAGACTAGGGCATACAAAAACCGAGGTTCCACTGTATTCCAAAGATTAATGTAATTCTTTGCATTGCCATTAACAATAAATCTTAGTGTAACTGTAAACTCTTTCAGACTTGTAATAAATAGATGCAGTATCTGGTTTATCATAATGACTTGTTTGTTCTTCTATTGATAAGTTAGTATTGGTTTTCAACAGGTACCAAGTTCAGGATAGTGATATGTATGCCAAGCGTTCTTGTGGTGAGAAATGTCGACGCAAGGTGCTCTGTACCATTGTTGATGGGGACAAACTCATGCCACCCAAATGTCATCCACATGATTGATTCTCAAGTACTTGAAGTGATCTGGATTTAAACATGTTTGCAGAAGAAAGTTGGTAATGGATTGAAAATAAGGGTTTAGGAAATCACAGAAAAAATAATTGTCTCCCTGGATGCAGTACATATCAGGTGAGATTTGTCTCAGGAATGGAGAGATTAGGAGCCACCTTAAACTAGTGTTTGTAAACATCTAGTCTTCAAGGGGCTTAGAAATTCTCTTCTACGAAAGTGCCTTAATTCCTTGGTGATTATCACAGTACAGTATTTACTATTGGCAGTGTGCTGCTCTCTCAAAGATAGATTGACCTATGGGATTTCTCAAAAATTCAGTTGCCCTAAAGTTTATTAGGAAATGGCTGTAGCTGCTGCTTGTCATTTGGTAGAAGACTTGGCTCAAATAACATTTGCTTTATTGCCATTAACATGGTGTAAAACGTGTACAAATACTCAGTGAAACAAGTTGTTCTTCAGTTTGTGGTACATACTTGATATGGCCTCTTGTGGGGACTCCTGCCATGAAATATTTTTCAATAATGGATTAATAATCTTTAGTACACCAAGATTCTTGAATAGTGCATGTCACATGAAACTGCTTTTAACTGTGCATCTTACAGCAAAACATAAAAGTAGTAATTGGATACTTTTAGTAAACATTTTGCCTGCACAGGTGAATGTCTAAATAGTTTCCAGTTACTACTGTCTCAACTACAACTTGTTGGTATTCCTGTACCATCGTTTATCGCAGCTTTCAATAAGTTGAGATATTACTGTATGTAAGTTTAAAATCAAAACATTATTACCATTTTTTAAACTATATTGGCTTTCTTCCTAAGGTGGGGTGACCCCCCCCCTCCAAAAAAAAAAAAGTTAAGTATTGCAACTGCAACCTCCATGTTGCTGTAAAATACTAAATGTACATGTGATTATGCATTCATACTCCTGCAAAATGTATAAATGTACTAAAAGCTGACAGGTTAATCTGATTCAAAATTAGGGTTTATCAATGTACAGTACTAATAATGTTGAAAAAGTTACAGCAGGCATTAATTGCTTTTTTATCATGCTTCTTAGTGTTGCTCAGTACTGTATAAATGTTGGGAAAAATCTCGATACTACTTTCCCTCAAGCAAAATCCTGCCTTAGCTGCATTATTGCATTTAAAATGTTAACTTTACAACTTGGAAATATTGAATAGTGTGCTGGTTTCCCATGGGTTGACTGTTGTTGAAAGAACAAATACAGATATTATATTGTATAGTAATTCTGTAAATGATTATTTGACCACACTCATACTGCAGCAGAATGTAATTGAATATTCATTCATCAGCCATTTGCCAGCATTATCTTTCCTTAAGATTTCTTTTAATCTTTTACAAAGTGGTACTGTACTGTAATTGCTTGTTTGTGCAATATTTAATTTAGTACGTAAGATTACACAGAAAATGAGAGGTATTGTGAAGATTCCCACTGCTAAGGAAGGGGAGTTCTATGGGAACAAGCTGGTTGGGTTCATTGCTACTTGAAAATCCTGCTTTAGTGAAATCTAGCTCATATTTGCAATAATTTTTTCACCAAATTGCTTACTGTTTAATGAGTAGGCCTGTTTGCAACAAGTTTACCTAAGATCAAGTATACTAATTTTAACAGTACAAGTTCCTGTGGCAAATGCAGTATTATTTAAAGTCTATAATAGCAAATTAGTTTCATAAAATTGGAATATCATGCCTGCTTTTAAGTATTCATTATTGACTTACAATAGTGATTACCAGCATGTAGTCCATAGACCAGTGGGGCCAGTAAGGTTTCTCCAAGGTGCTGAAGATGTCCCAGCAAGTTTTGCTCCTCCAGCCAGTGCTTGATTTTCGCTATCCATTAACATTTAAAATCATAACTAATTATGTAATGGGTGAGGCTTGAACCCATGGCAAGAGAGTCCTAAAACTCTCGAGCATGTGAGGGGTTGACAGCATATTCTGATATTGACAAGGTTCTGTTGTAGATTTGCCAGTACTGCCAGCCTGGGTCTTTTCCAGATGATGACCTGGCCTTAGCTCCCAGGAATGGGAGTGTCTTGAAGGGCATGCCAGCTGCACAGCAGCTGGCAATGTGAGGAAGGCTGTTGAAGCTGCACAGCAGCAGGCAGTCAAGAAGGGCCAAGAAAGCAGCAATTTCAGGGTCCCATGGAGCTACACCCCAGCTTTAGGTTGCGGCCTGAGTGCTGGGGACACTCGCTTGCTGATTGGTCAATGAAGTTATGGCTGGCCATGGATAGAGCCATTCTTGATGGACTTGAATTTTGTCTTGGAGATTATGATCACCTGGGTCTTTCTGATTGTGTTGTTTATATGCTTTTCCATGTCTTCCATCAGTATTTGATGTGTGTCAGGGTCGTCAACATCGGTGGTAAACTTTACAGTCCCGTCTTGTAATCGAGAGCGTAATTCTCTGCAGTACATTACATTACTGTGTGGGGCACTTCTGTAGAGCAACACACCTGGCCAACTTGCATAGCCAGGCCTACTGAAGTTTCCGTCATCGGACTGTTCTTCAACTGGTTGTTGTTTTGGGCAAGGTGCCTGTTGATTGGTTCTCTTGGGGTGAGATCATTGATTGATCTGTTACTGTGGTGGAGGTAGTCAGTGGTGGTGTCTCATTGGTGGGCTTGGGAATAGTCTTGACACCCGTAGGAGGTGGCAGTGGAGCTGCTAGGGATGAACTTTCTGGTGGCAAGACAATAACTCTGCTGGAGGTGAGCTTGAGTATGTCAGTAGAAGGTGGACAATCCAGGAATGTGAAACTTGGGGGGGGGGGGGGGCTTTCAAAAGGTTGGGAACATTGGTTTGGTCCTGTAAAATTACCAAAAGATTCTAAGACCCTATCCTTTATCTTTTTTTTTTTTTTTTTTTTTTTTTATACTGTACCATGTTTGTTGAAAACATGTTTTATCCCCTAATCATTTGTTTAGATATTCTGCATGATAAATATCAGAATAATTTCTTGGGCTCTTATCTACATTATCAGTAAATGTGGAATGTCAATCTGTGCATTATTATATTGTATGTAAAGTATCTAAACCTGGGTTATTCATCAAATGTCTGCAGTTTGGAAGTCTTGAATAATACACTTCCCATTTAGTATACATTAAAGAGGAATCAATGATTTGAGGGTTGCCCAGCAGTCTTTCATTGTTATTCATAACCTACATTGTTTTCTTTTAGGTTTAATAGTTTTCCTAACCATCAGTAGTCAAGCCTGAATTAAATTTAGGGTAATTCTGTCTATTTAAGTAACTTGCCACCTGGTCTAGCAGCTAGATACTGTAGAAGCTTTTCTGTCATGTTTGTAATGAGGCAAGATGCTTATGTTATCAGTACTTGTATACTGGTTAAAAGAATTACAGTTCAGTAGTATCAAGTAGTATTACTATTGTATGGTATTGCTAGACACTTTTTACTACATTAAAGCCTCAATTTAAGTAGTTCCTCTATAGCTTAACCATTTGAACTGTGATGGAGTATTCTGTGCCTCTACATGGAAAAAGTAAAAACATTTAATATTGCTTGTCTCAAAAATATAAATACTACATTTACCTATAGATCCTTAACATGAATTATTCTGACCTGTGTTTTAAGAGTATTAGTAGTATTGAACATGGTATAGTACAGAACAGGTAGTATGCAAGAAGCACTAAACCCTTATGGGTCAATCAGTGCTACAGGCAAATGGGTGCTGACATTAGGGGCAAGGAAGATGGTAAATTCATGTACGAGAAGAGAAAGCTACAATTAGTGACGACAAGGTAGCTAAGATGAGGAAATCAGTTCACTGTAGTTGAACTGGAAAATGAAATATGTGCTTTCTGATAAATGGGACAGTGAGAGGAAAAGTGAAGGTTAATGCAGGTGGTTAGTAGTCAGGATATGATAGCAGTGGGAGTTTTATTAGGAACTTACACTAGGTGGACTGAGGAGTGGTGTATGATCCCCAGAATGTGGGACCCAGAGCAGAAGCTGTAGAGAAGAGAATCAGAGAGGAAAGATGGGCCGGAAGTAGGTAGAATAGGGATGTCTTTGAATGACCAATTTCGTATCCTTGGATGACACAGGGATATGAAATAATCAGCAAGCATAATTTTGGCAATTGGTTATTGCTTCTCCATGTGATGTGGTAGGAGCTTGTTACTGTTGCAAGTTTAATAGTGTTGCTTGGGTATTCACTTTAATAAGAGTATCAACTATAAGCAGATTTTGAAGCGTCCAGTTGATGGCTATATGCTGCACATTCTTTAAATGACTACTGTTAGATTGTGATCTGGGAAGGACTATTGTTTCTACAACAAAGTGAAGCGAGCATGTTAACTGACAATATATTTAGCATCTTGGCTAAATTGTCAGCTTGTAAAAGTATCATTTTGCAAGGATAACTCTTATCCCATTCAGCATGTGGAAAATTCTGGCTAACTTATGATAGTCTAAATACAGTGGACCCCCGAGTTTCGTCAGCATCAACTTTCATGAAATCCGGCAAGTTTTTTCGGCAAAATTTAGCCTCGCGGTTCTTGATTGGACTCGTGATTCGGCGACCGTCTGGTACCCGTCCGCCCGTCACTGCGCACACAAAGCCAGTCTTCCACACCATTCACACTCAGTGTGCCATTGCTTACCAGCACGTGACCGTCACCCTGCGGGTTCATACAATACATGTCATAATAATCCATTGTTTTTTGTGCTTGCAACTGCTAAATAAGTCACCATGGGCCCAAGGAAAGCTAGTGCAAGCCCTCTGGTAAAGAAAGCAAGGAACACAAGAAGGAAATCAAGAGAGGGATTTTGAAGGGTTTGGGGCTGACCCTAAGGAGCCTATGCCAGTTGTGGAATCTATTGTGGCATTGGGGAAGTCCCTGGGGTTGGAAGTGAGTGGCAAGGATGTGGAAGAGTTGGTGGAGGACCACAGGGAAGAGCTAACCACTGAAAAGCTGCAACAGCAGGAGATCACAGCTCAGGAAAATGCTGCAGAAGAGGAGGAAGAGATGGAGGAAGGTGCCTTCTTCAAAGATTAAGGACATCTGTGCAAAGTGGACTGAAGTGCAAACATTTATGGATGAACTTCACCCTAACAAAGCTGTTGCAGGCCGTATTGGCAACATGTGCAATTAGTGTTGTGTCCCATTTCAGACAAATCTTAAACGCCAGAAATGGAGCTCTCTGGACATATACTTTGTGCGACAGGGGTCCAGTGACTCAAGTTGTTCTCAGTGTCTTTAAAAAACAAAGAAGGGAAGTAACCCCAGATAAGGACTTGGCACCTGAAGTCCTAATGGAAGGAGATTCTCCTTCCAAACAATAGTGTACACAGTCCTCCTATCCCCTCCTCCCACTCCATCCACCCAGAAGTCTCCAGTAAAGGTAAGTGTAATGTTATTATTTTATATATGTATGTACTTCATTTCTCATTGTTTTCAGTATGTAAATCTTTATTTAATTTGAAAAAAATATTTTAATTTAATATTTTTGGGTGTCTGGTACGGATTAATTTTATTTCCATTATTTCTTATAGGGAAAATGATTTCGCCATTCGGCAATTTTGACATTCGGCAGACTCTCTGGAACGGATTAATCACGAAACTCTGGGGGGGGGGGGTCCACTGTATGTTCTTAAGCTCGCTGGGCTAAGCATGGTATTTCTTAGGCTCATTGGGCTAAAGCATAGTATTATTACTATAAGTACTCATTGGGCTAAAGCATAGTATTATTACTATAAGTATTTCGGCAACTTAGCACATGGAGTGGTGGAGGCTCGACCCTCTTGTCAGCTAGTTGTGGGCTGGTCTCTGACTGGTCAGGCCGTTTATCACCTGAGCTAGAGCAAAAAAATGTTTGTTTGCCATAAGTAATGTAAAGAATGTATAGTCTTAACAGTGCTTCTTTGAGTTATAAAAAGGTGATTTTTGAAATATCATGAACACTAAAATATTTGGTTGTGTTTGTAATGCATAAAATTAAGATTAAATTACTGCTGTTGAGAGATGCTGGATCCATGGTAAAAGTGAGCAGTGGTAAGATATTTTATGAAAGGGAGCTGACTGAACACCCAAACAACCTTGGGAACTGGGTGCCTCCCAGGCACCAGTTCTTTTATTCCAACACAGTTTCTTGTGCAAGGATTATATAACTGGCTACAGTCAGAGGAGACCTAGGATAGAGGATAAGATCATAAATTGAGATAAAAGATAAGCAAGATGTAGGACCTCACCCCTTCCCACCACTGCTTAATATCTGCAACCACAAGTGCTATTTTTCCTGGGAACCAGCTATGATGCTATGTGATGGCATCCACAAAATTAACCAAACAGTTAGAAAAAATGCCAGTTTGGAAAGCATCCATGGTGCAAGTGCCATTTGGTTAATGAGGGTCAATCAGAATGAATGTGTTGGCTATATGCATTCAGGTGCTGCTGGATCTACAGGTAATTTCTAGTATGTATTCCTTCAAAGTTAATATCTAATAATCCAGTAGTACTTCTGCCATCAAAAGGTCCTGTTACTGTTAATTCTAAGATACAAAAGTAGACCGAAAAAATATGAAATACTGATTTACTTTACATCGATGAGCTACAGTTGTATTACCATGGTGTTAGTAGGTATTACTCTAATCTTGATACTGTACTTTCCTCATGTTTGTGAAAACAACTAGTTCATTATGCATCAGGAGTTAAGTTTTGTGCCTGTTAACTATGTAATCTATAAAAGAAATTAGTAAACTTAAGTCTAGCTGCTTTCATTAATAGGCATCTACTGGTTTCTAATTGAAAACCATAGGTCTTGTCATGTATGAAATCCATTTTTTCCTTCATAAATACTGTGCCCATCTCATTACATTTATCATATAAAGTTGCACTGATGTGCATTTTGTATAGTATTTATTTTAAAAATTTACTCTACATTAAATGTAAATAAACTTTTATTTCTTATCTACATTTTTATTTTCCTTGAGTAAAAAATATATTTGCACAGTGCTGAAGCAATGTGGGCCAGTGCTGAATGTGAAGGATGAGGGAATTCAAGTTCTGGATCACTTGTAGAGCACGTTACAAGTTTGAAATTAATAAATGAGGCAAACTTGGTAGCAACATGGATCATTACATGAAAAGTACACAACTAACTATACATTAATACCTCTCATTAATGGAATAATTGGGGAAAAGGGGGTGAATAATGCAAATTGTCCACAACTCCCAAATTATGAAATTAATATTTCATGATTGTCTGGTTATCTTCTGTAGTGGACTTGGTTCAACCAGACACTAAAAATATGGGTACTGTAACCTTTTTGCAGTTGAGATGGGGTATAAATCGCTGATCAATAGTGGTGTAAGCTCAACCAGTGAATATGAGAGAATATAAATGGCCGAGAACCATACTTTCTCTTGGGACCACCACTTGCTTTAGAAGCCAGTGTTAATTGCACTAAATTTGTTAATCACAAAATACTGAAAGTCCAGGAAAAAATTTAACTGAATTATTTCATGCTAGTGAGCATAAACAAGAAACTGGCACAGGTGACCTACAGTTCTGAACAATGAAAATGGACAGGCCTTGGGCATGGCAGCTTTGGCCTGTACTAGACAAGGTTGGAGTTAGCAGACTGACCCAATACTTCAGAAGACACACAACTAGACACTATCACTACAGACAAAATTTGGAATTATGGACTTTGGTCCAACAGAACATTTTCCCAACCAGTTATTTTGTCTGAAATTGCTGAAATCTGTTAATTTTACTGAAACGGTAGATTTCAGCATTGTCCTTAAATCATGCATTCAGGAAAAAATCTGCATAACCCCTGACATCAGAATTCAGAACCATCTCTGACTAACGGTTCAAGTTGGACTGAAATGTCGCAAGTTATTCTCCAACATACAGGTTATTTGTGAATTGTATGCACAGACATAAGGTTGGTAATGGAAAAACAGACTTCCAAAATGGGAAGGACAAATAAGACAAGAATAGAAAGCAGAGGCTAAATTATGACAAACTAAAAGTCCCTCTGCTCCCATTCCACAGGCGCTTTTGCATACATATCGCTCTGCAAACGTGCTTCAACCTACATGATATAACTCTTATGGTCCCTATCACAAACCGTATAAACATTTTAGGTCTGCAGTTGGTCAAGATGTGGATATTATCATTATGGTATTCTTTAATAATCATAGGGGAACCACTAAACTTGTAGGGGTGATGCAGCACCTGGGGAATGAGAGGTAATCAAGATTTGGGAGGAAAAAAGGAAGGTAGTTCAAATTTCTTTGATCAAGAGCCCTTCATCAACAAGGTACCCCTCTTTAAGGAGAGGCAGTAAAGACTCGCTAATATCACCTACAGTGAAGTCACAAAATAAAGGTGTGAAAGCAAGAATTTTAAAGGTTCTGTAATATAAACTAAGCATTAAACTTCAAAGGGTTATACAGTGCTGCAGGGTGGGTTGTGCTAAAGAAGGAATATGCAAAGATCACAGACTAATGTAGGGAAGGAGTGTGCAAGAGGGTAGGGTTAATGGGGGAAGAGAAGTGTGTTGTATATGTAGGATGATGGGATGAATGGAATCAAATTTCTGGATAACGTGTAATGCACTAAAGGAGTCTGAAACTATTATAAATGAAAGTGATGCAATAAGTATGATGGCCATGAGAATTTATAACTTTACTGTGAAAAAACTGGCTGAGTTTTGTAAATGACCTTGTGTAATTGTCTGGAAAAACTGCTGACACCAGAGGACTTAGAACCATCAGTATACACTGCAATGGCAGGTTAAGAGTGAGCAAGTGTGAAGATACAGTAGGTAACTGAACCTTCGCACAGGGAAGTAGGGCAGAGCAGACACAAATTCTTGAAACTTCCCAAGGAGTGAGAGAAACAAGATGCTGGATGGACATACAGAGGAGGTAAATTAAGGGAAACCAATAGTGAATACGGAAAGGAAAGGGATGTAATAAAGAGGAGCAGCAATCAAACAGTTTTACTAACATTCAACACCAGCCTATATGTAGAAGGATCGTGAAGGTCATGGGGGTGGACAAAATAACGAGACAATGGGCATCACGCTAATCTTGCAAAGATGGAACATTTGCTTCTGCATATAGGCTCTCAACTGGGAAGGAACTAAAAGCACCTGGGTACAAACATAACCACTGATGAATCAAATCATTCTCAGAGAGTAGTGGGAAAGGCTGCAGAAAATAGCTTGCTGCTATAGTTCAATTTAGGTAAGATTAGAGAAGAATGGAGATGAAGAAGAGTTCATCTGACTATGGCAAACTGCTTTCAGAGAGGGTATTTGAGGTTTCCAGGACATCCACCAATCAAACAGAAGACCAAGAAATTTGACGGTACTACATGTATCTTGCTCAGGGATACGAGAACCATACAGGTATAACACAGCATTAGGGAAATGTCATGTAAACAGGAAAAAAAAATTATGTATAATGAAGGCAGATACAGGTTGTTTAAAACTACAATATCAAAACTGGAACTGCAGGAACTTGGAAGACAGAAAAACATACATTAAGTATAATTTTAATTACTACATACAATTGTGTGCACCACAGTTTAAAAGAAGCATAAGGAATATACTGGCAAAGCACTCTGGATAATGTAAATTACCAACTCCAGCATTCAATACACCAAGTATTTTTTTTTAATATTATAAGAATACATCAAAAAATAATAATAATAATGCCAGCAAATATGGTTTTTAAAATTATCATTTTAAAATATATTTTACTTTACTTTTTAACATGGGAGTACAACATAGATGTATCTATCTAGGTTAACACCCAGATTAAAATACGTGCTTCATTTGGGTGAGCAAGTTGGATAAATGAATACATGTACCTGTAGTAGTGATAAAAAAAAAAAGTGAATACTTATTAAAAAATACAATGAATATATTGAAAAGTTTAAGAGAATGTTCACAATGTTAAGAAAAATTAAAAATAACGGATCAATGACACTAAAAACTATTTCATATATTCACAGCATAATCAGGAAAATAGAATATTCACCTCATGCACTGTATGAGGGTTACCCTAAAAAGATTATATTGTACATATAATGTTATAAAGAAATTAACACTTATGACAGAAGTAATAGATGTCTGAATTCCTCCCAAAAACAGACATATTTATTACATCAATATGAACATTTTTACATAATCGTGAAATCACACAAAAAATATAATTTACATTATGGAATTAAACACACAAATGAAACATTTTAAAATATAATTGTGTATTGAAGGTGCATACTACCAAATTAAATTTTACTCTATGGACTCCTGTTAAAGGGATGCCTTTATTATATTCATGGGGGGAAACTGTAACCTTCAATGATCATGCGCAGCGCTGTATAGCCCTTGTGGCTTAGCGCTTCTTTTTGATTATAATAATAATAATCAATGATCATGCAGTACCTAGGACAAGGGAGATTCCTATTATCTTCACAATGATGTGCCAAACCCATACAGATCAAAATGAAGCAAGGCTGAGGGAAGTTATCAGCAAGGGAAAAATGTGTGAAGGGTCAACCTAATAGTTAATGAAAGTCAAAATTGGCATAAGCTGGATTCAATCAAAAAGTTGGTGTCTTAAGTTTGGGCATTCCAAAAGGAAAGCAGGCAAAGTGAGGGGTACCCAGACACTGAACACAAAAGACTGGAAATGAATTATACGTGTTCTTTGAGAAATTATACAATCAAAATGTTTCACAATGAAAAAAATCGTATGGGTTTCAGAGGCACTGACTGCCTCTCCACATGATAGCTAAGTGTGAGTCTTGAATGACCAATGCACAGCTGCATAAGATCAGTTTTCTAAACACAGACAGTGGTGAAAGGTTGATCAATAATACCTCATTCTCCAAGACGGACCAACAATGTTGTCATTCAATCCCGAATGCTCAGAGACAAAACTGAACGTCCAAAATGGGCAGTTCTCTGCAAGAGAAACAGCAGAATATGCAGAGGTATTTAAGTTCACTGCCTCAACACCAGAATGACTAGGGACTGATGTCTTTACTCTTTCTAAAGAGTTCACATTACAAGTGTTTAATATGGAGGGACAATGGAATGACCTGAGTCAAACCTATGAAGAGCTTGTAATGCACTTTGAGTGTCAAAGTAGGACAAAGAATGAAATGGGAAGAGATGCACTGTGGATAATGGCTGCAAGTGTGTACAACTCTGCTGAGAAAATACTAGCCAAATCTGGTGAGTGTCCCTGTATCCCACTATCTGAAAAAGGCTATGTATCCTATACCATACACAAATAACCCACACATAGAAGAGAGGAGCTTACGACGACGTTTCGGTCCGATTTGGACCAATTACAAAGTCACGCTGTGACTTTGTAAATGGTCCAAGTCGGACCGAAACGTCTTCGTAAGCTCCTCTCTTCAATGTGCGGGTTATTTGTGTATCGTTCCAGTCACGGTATTGTGCCTTTTTTGTTATCCTATACCATCAAAGTATTAAGAGCTATCACTACACAGCACAAGCATTTGAGTGCAATTAAAAATGTTCAAGGAAGAGGGATGGTATGTACAAAGATGTAAGCAACTATGGAAAGGGAGTGAGGGACATGCTAGGATCATCTGTACCTCCCAAAGTAGCATGGAAAAGAAATGAACAGGATGAACAGAAGAGGGGAACTGACTGAGTGAAGCAGCTACACAGTCTGTAGGCAGAGATTATGTGAACATAATAAAGGCCATGACTGGAGGCACGTGCTTTACTGAAGTCTGTGAATAGTCTGTGGGTCATAGGATCATATAGAGCGTGAAATAAGAAAAAAAGACAAGAGTATCTTGACAGTTTTGTAATAAAGAAATGTTAGATTGTACATATAGGCTTGTGAATACAGACGAACAAAAAGCACAGTGAAACTCGGTCTTTGATGATGGACATCTAGTTTGGAAAGAATAGTTGCTGAAGCAGATGACCACACCTCATCCCCATAATAGTTCTGATAGTCAAGAATATATGAAGACTTAAGAACTTTTCTATGGTGCCCCAGGTAAAATGTGAATTATTTTAAAGGAAATTCAGTTTGCCAAGACATACAACATTTATGGCGGTCAGATGTAATTTACATGATATCTTCTTATCAAAATGAAGGCAAAGAAATTTAACCAACTGGCAGACTGGGATAGGGAAATCATACAAAAAAAGTACGAAATGGGAATGAGAGGGCACCGAGTGTTGTGACAGCTTGTTTTAGATACTGAGAACCTGAAGCAGAGTGATGTAACCCAGCTGGACGGAATTGCACTAAGGAAGTGGATACCTGCTGAATATTTCTGCTAGCACATGCAATGGTAAAATCATCCATATATGAAGAGGACCAAATTCCCTGAGGTAATGCTGAGGCTAAACCATTAATAGCTATTGGAAACAGGGTTATGCCAAGAAAACACCATTGTAGAAGGCCTTCTGCTTAAACCAAGTTGGGTGAAAAGCTGTTACTGAACCTGACAAAAAGTATTGATCTGTCATGAAGGCCTTGAGAAAAAGTGGAAGTTATCCTCACAGGCCAAAAGACTGAACCTGGGATAAGACATGAAGGTGGCCTTGAGTGAACCTCCACCATTATCACCCGAAGAGTAAGAACAGATTGTGAGGTCTGCACGGAATCAAATACTGGTAAGAGTTTCAGAGAGCCCTTCAAATTTGTTACATACAAGATAGAGGAGAGGTGTATGTATCAGATGGAAGTCACATATCTCGATATAGGAAATCCTATGCAAAGGACCAGGTCTGCAAAGATGATTTAAAGCCTGGCCATATGACATGCTCTTCTTCTGTTTTAGGAGGCAGATCTTGCAATTCTCAAGGAAAATGGAGTATGAACAAAAATAGGCAGGATGAACCTCCACACAATTCAGATGTCCGACTGGCAATATTTAGTTGGGTATCCAAACTGTCAGTACTGTTATAAAAAATAAATTTATTTCCACATGATACATAGCTTTTACAAAATTGGACGACATTTAAACATGTGGAAAGCCCCTGGTTTTGCACAGAGCATTTCAGATAAGCTAAAATCCTAAGATTAATAGAACATAATAAATTATATAGGGGTTGGACTTCCAGCAAGTGTTAGTGAGTGTGCTGGATAGGAGTGAATGGAGACGAATGGTTTTTGGGACCTGACAAGCTGTTGGAGTGTGAACAGGGTAATATTTTGTAAAGGGATTCAGGGAAACCTGTCAGCCAGACCTGAGTCCTGGAAATGGGAAGTACAATGTCTGCACTTTAAAGGAGAGGTTTGGGATTTGGCAATTTGAAGGGATGTCTAAGCTGTTGTATCTGAGCGCCTCTGAAAAGACAGTGATTATGTGTGAGTGATGGTGAAAGTGTTAAATGATGATGAAAGTTATTTTTTTCTTTTTGGGTCACCCTGCCTTGGTGGGAAACAGCTGATGTGTTAAAAAAAATGTATACAAAGACAGTTAGTTCTATTACTGTTCAGCAGTTATCTGCTAAATATACAGTAGAGGAGAGCTCACAGCTGTCAAATGTTAGCCTGGCAACATTGCTTGTTTATCTAAGATGTTTTCAAGCAGGACGGAAAAAGTATCTATTTTGAGAATAGGTAGCTGCTGAAGCTCCTGTTAAATACTGTTTGCTGATGAACAATTGAACGAGAAAGGATGACCATTCCATAGCATGTATTAAGGTGAATATGTCTGAGAACAATAACATCCTTGTCTGTAGATTGTAATTTTTACTATGTTATCCACTTGAGCAGCAGTATTAACCCTGCACTACATGTAACCCGTTATGTTGGGTGTGGAAAATGATCCTTGGGGCCAGCTGCTGTAAAAATCCATTAGCCAAGTTTATAATCACACAGAACATCTGAAACTTCACTCAGGTAAAGCGTAAAAATTTTTGACCAGGTGTGAGCCATACACTTCATGTAAGATAGATGAAATCCAATGTGGAGACTTACTGTTATAGTGAGAAAGATGATAAATACCAGGTACAGGATCTGAAAAAAGCAAGCAGAAAGGAGTATATAGGGTCACTACAGTACATGTTAAACACACACACGGCACTGGTAAAGGATTCTTGATTCAAATAATTTTACCTCTCCTACCTTTCCTTGGATCAAATCTGTTTACCTCCCATTTCCCTAGGCACTATATGACCCATACGGGCTGAGCACCCTTTCCTTCCTCAGATCAAAGCTAACTGCCTCCCATTTCTCTGGCACTGCATGACCCTTGCTTACAGGTTTAGTAATTTCCCATAAATATAATATTTACAAGAAAAATATTAGTGTATACTGAATCTTAACAGATTCCACTTGTTCTCAAATTCAGAATACAGCTTCCCCTTGGACAGACATAAGAGGGATCTCGCCAAAAGATTAATACTGTATAATGTTGGAGTTCAGAGGATCATTTCAATTAAAGTCTATGCACTTCTGCCCAGACTATTAAACACATAATATTGAACGTGTTTTTACACTGGGTCATCCCTAACTTGGTGAGAAATGGCCAGTTTTAACAAAAGTTATAATAGTACCAAGGTATGGTAGGTTACTGCTAACAGATGGAAATCTGACAATGCATGATTAACCTATATAAAAAAATAATAATATGACTAAATTGTATACGTAATTCTCTTGAATTTAATGCATATACAGTATTTATTATTGTGTATATGCATTTTTAAATGCAAATATTCATACACATTTAAATGCTTAGTGTATGTGTGCATGAATACATACACATGCCCTTATGTATATATATACATGCACACACAATGATAATTATATGTAAATACAGTATGTATATGTACTCAGAATTTGTTCAAACATGAATACATATTCTAAAGGAACATATATTCATATATAACAGAAAATATAACATATGTAATTTTCTTTAAACTTGATTCAAAACAATAATTATCAGTTTATTGACATTTAGTATTTATCAGTGTTAGATAGTCAAGACAAAACCTTTGCATGAAAGTCTAGCATTACAAATGGAGTTTAACCATGGAAATAATAACCATGATCCTTGGACAAGTGAGCAATTCTCTTAACAACTTGTTGCTACAGTACTTCATTTGTAAAAAACAAAAAGGCTATCACTTCATTTTTGTACATGAGCCACTGAGTGAAAACACTTGACTTCCCACGGTGCTAGAATGTGTCAGACCAGTATAGTATAGTCAACCCTCTTATAATGCTATTTGATACAGTGTAGTTTTTTCCATATATGTAAAACTGAAAAGGTACATCCAAAATTGAACAGTACATACTGTGAAGACCTTATTATGAGCTATTAAATTTTGGATATACTTTTTTAACTGTATTTACAAAAAAATTCACCATTTAGAGGAGCTGTATAAGAGGGCTGAATGTAATTAGTGATTTACTACCAGTATTAATTCTACTTGGTATTAAAAAGAGAAAACATTTATTACCACAATGGTGTCTGTGAATAAAAATACTATTATTATATCCATAGTGGTATCACACTGCCTGAGTAATGGGAAATAATCATATTTGATCTGAGGAAGGGAAGGATAGCTTCAATTCTTTGGATCAAGCAACCTTTACTAGTATCAAGACCCCCAACCCCCTTAATGGGTTTACGTAATGATTAATAAAAAGCATACATAGGAAATTTGGCAAAAACATAAAAGCTCTGAAGTTTCTTCTTTTGTGATCCCTTGAAACTGGATCATTTTTAAGTGATGGGGAACCTCTGTAAATTGTATTTTGGAGACCACTGTCTCCCAGGTACAGTCCATGGATGAAGAACCTAGCATTTCCTTTGATTTAAATGGTAAGGGCATTTCCTCCAAAATGTCAATGTTGTATGACCCCCCCCCCATGGATTTAGCACTATTTAATAAATAAATAAAATGCCTTTTTGATAAAGTTTCAGGTCTTATAATACATGAAGACTACTAGGTGTAGTCCCCAAATAATAAAAACAGGTGAGGTGCTCTTGATATCCCCTTCTCCTGTATATATTACTAAATTTAAAAGGAGAAACTTTTGTTTTTCCTTTTGGGCCACCCCACCTCGGTGGGATACGGCTGGTTGTTGAAAGAAGTGCTCTTGATCACAAAAACTGGAATCACTTTTGCTTTCCTTGAATCAAACCTGATTACCTCCCATTCCACAGGTGCTACAAGATCCCTACAAGCTTACCACTTCCTTGTGAATATAACAACAGACTTTGTCAAAAAACAAATATCTGAACACAGTTTACCCCACACAATAAATCTTCAAATATTTAAGGATTCGTGTTATTGGGTATGATTACCTATTTGTAAATGATACAAAGTGCATTCCCTGCCCCCACACACAAAACCTTACTATGTACAGCACTACATAAATCTGCAGAAAATTAAGTGTCTGCATTAATCACACAGTACAGGTCGGCCATCACTAATCCAGCATCGTTGGGACCTGTAGTGTGCTGGATTAGTGAGTTTGCCAGATTACAGAGTGGTTAGGTTAGAATACACTTAATTAACCAATCAACAGAGACTCTTTCTGCTACATTTTCCTCATTTTCATTACTGCTTTCTCCTCCACTGGCTTGTTGCTGTGGATTTACAACCATCTGCACAATATCTGAGTCAGTACAATGATGAAATTTGAAATTATGCTAACCAAACTTAGTGCCAGATTATTGATGGAACCGGATAACTGATTGCCGGATTAGTGATTGTCGACCTGTATATAACTAAAAAGTTTTATTATTTAGCTGTTAGTGTTGCCTATTTATACATTAACATACAGGGGCTGTATAAATCTCATCAGTATAGCATTTCCTTGTGAAAATAATAATATAACACATTTAACATAGCCTTTAACTTTTTTTAAACAAATTATATATTTTACATCTGCCTTAGACATGCTTTTACATAAAATAATTGCTCAAAAGTTTATTAAAATATTTGTATGTACCACAAGAAAAATCAGCACTGGTTTACCTTAATGAAGTGGTGTGATATGTGGCTAGGGTTAAGGGCTTCTTTGGGAGGGTTGCCAGACTTCCCACAGGTTATATGTCTGACTCAGAGTTCAGCACCTCTTTTGGCATAAATGGTGAGGTTATTTCCCCTTTCACCTAAATTTGCTGACACTTATGACCAATAAAATGGAACAAATTATGGATAAGGACTGCGGAATGTGAAATGTTAACTACAAATAGTCTTACTTGCTTTGAGATTATGGTTTCTGTAATATGACAGTGATTTGGTCATGACAACTGCAAGTTGGTAATGTTAGTGTAAATGTGATTGTTAGTAATATTATTGTTAAAGTGCTGAATAACAAAATTGCTCTACTGCCTTGTAAAGAAAACACACACAAACACATTATAGGAAAACACTGATTTTTATTAATAATTGATGCCAATGCTTTCCTAAATTCTCTTAATACTTATCTTTCAATTTAAACCTAAGACAATTTGACATATTTATCTCAATATTACTAAAAAATATATACTTTTTTGAGTAAGAAACATTTTAATACTAATTATACAAAACTCCATTATACACTCCAAGATTTACTTATGCATCAGGAACAATGGGGGGCCAAGTTGAAAATACAGTATATCTCACCTATTCTTGCTTTCCACCTTGCTTCTCCAAGCTTTAGTATACTTTGAGCTCATTTATATCTGCTTGTTGGTTGTTACTTTGCTACTATTGCAGTTCACAAGCACCTGTTGAGCCATCCATGCCTGATTAGCTGGAATATTGCAACTGGGGAAGGTGGTGGTTTTAACACAGGGCTGTCAGTACTTATACCAGTGTACACCCATATGCAGGCCTCTCTGATCATACTAGTGTACACCCATATGCAGGCCTCTCTGATCATACTAGTGTACACCCATATGCAGGCCTCTCTGATCATACTAGTGTACACCCATATGCAGGCCTCTCTGATCATACTAGTGTACACCCATAAGTGGGATTCTCTGACCATTTTGGGTGAATAATAGTGAGTGTACATGCTAGTGTACACACTGCTGACAAGGCCACCTGTAGTCCCTGACGCAGAAATGCGCCTTTCAGCAGTCAAAATGCAATTTTCTGCTATACAACCCAGTAGATTAGTTGGAATTGTACCACCCATGAGCAAAAACAGAGGAGGCATCTGTCGAGCAGAAAAGACCCCAAAAAATACATACCACACAGGAAATTACAAGTGTATCACTATTTTCAATCAATAAAAGTGTAACCATTATTACTAGTGTTAAACCAGTTTAGAAATTGCATCTCTAATTATAGAATTTTTTTATTTTTGTACTCACTACTGACATTTTCAAACTATGGTGTACTTGTAATATTAAGCCTTAAATATTACCCTTTTTATTTGTGCATACAAATACTGACCCTGACTTGAATCTCCTAAATAATACATACAAAAACCAACAGCTTACTGACCAAACTTTTTAAGTACTATACAATGAACAATGCTGAAAGTGTCCTTAGTAAAAGCAATTCTTTAAGTATTTTTAATTATACCACTAAGTCTAAACAAACACGATAGCATTGCTTGAATCACTTATTAACAAATTCTCTCTTATTATATTAAGAGAGACCTGATTATCACATTTTTTTTTTAATCCATCAGCTGTATCCCGCTGAGGCAGGGAGACCTAAAAAAAAAAAAAAAAAAAATGAAGTTTTCTTTCTAATTTTAGTAATTTATACTCCTGGCATTTTAATTACCCCTTACAACATGCATGGCTTATGGAGGAAGAATTCTATTAACACATGACTCCACTAATATATTCAACATTAATGGATATACAGCTATCTACAACTGCAGACCAGACATGGAGGCAGTACTGCTATTTATTACACTAGTGAATTCAAGAGTATGAATATCAAACACCAGTACTGTAGATGAATGGTTCACAGAACCGACACGTTGATAAATTAGACACATGTGCAACTCTTGGGTATCTTTATTAAGGAAACGTGTCGCCACACAGTGGCTTCATCAGTCCATACACAGGAGAAACTTGAAGAACAGGAGAATGAAGAAATCAGTTCCTCAACCTTGAGTCGATGTGGTCAGTCCATCAATCTTGAATAAATTGATGGACTGACCACATCAACTCAAGGTTGAGGGACTGATTACCTCATTCTCCTCCTGTTCTTCAAGTTTCTCCTGTGTATGGACTGATGAAGCCACTGTGTGGCGAAACGTTTCCTTAATAAAGATACCCAAGAGTTGCACATGTGTCTAATTTATCAAACACCAGTACCTTCACTCTGAAGGAGAGGTGGAGATATGCTGCAGTTTTTGACTGCAGTATCAGCACTTCTCTAGCAAGACAGTGATGGAGTGAGTGATAATGAAAGTGTTTCTTCTTTTTTGGGCCCCACTGCCTCAGTAGGAAACAGCCGATGTGTTAAAAACAAATCTGCTCAATTTAAAAACAATATTTCTAATCAAACAAGAGATTACAGTCTCCTTGTACCAATACATCAATTCCAACTTGGCCTCCCAGGGTCACACAGCGGAAGTCTGAGGTAATCATCTTTAAATTGTTTTACAGAATATCTAAAAGGTAGGGAATAATTCTTAACACAAAGAGACATTCTTAAAATTTACTTAATTAATGAAGTAGTGTGAAATTACAATTCAGTTACCTGATAATAAAATAAATAGTGCCTCAGAAGCTGGAAAGGCAGCTATTTATAAGTATCCTAACCAACATGCATGCCTTTGGCTTCCCTCATTCTGATAATATAAAAGAACATAAAACTAATGCACTGGGAAATCAAATAAGTTTTTAATTTCGGTACAAACTTCAATAGACCTGCCACACTCAAAATTCTGTTTAAATAAGCATAAATCTTAGAAGATAATGCATTTTTTATTTTCAGTCGTAGTCATGAAAATATGATTAACTTGTCTACATCTGTACAGTTTATCTGAAATGCTTATACAGTATTTGTAATTTTTGTTATTGCTACAAAGTATACTGAATCAAAATAACCCACTGATTCCACACTGTGTGCTATGTACAGAAGGTAACAACTGGTAGAATTTATGATGTGAAACTACAGTACAGTATTTCTGAAACAGTGGGTTGTGGCCCCCAAAGGAGGTGTGAGCAGGGCAAACCTTATCAACTAGCGGTTCATCTGGCAAACTGACTAACACTGGTCTAGTACATGGCCCTGATCTTCATGTTAAACTCTACATTAGTACTAATAGTATTTTAGTCTGTCAGTATGTTTGGATACTAAGTATTGCATGTAATAGTACAGTATAACTTAGGACTGATATACACATTACAAGTGCATCTATATTCCTGGTACCTGAAAACTAGTGCAAAGTTACAAACTTACCATGGTGCAAGACTATTTTAATTCCTGGATTAGCCATTTGTATTATATCTAAGGCCTTCTTGACTAATTATATCCACAATAACTTGCATAAGATTACCTCCAAAGTTTCATTTGTGTTAACTTGCATGTTTCTTCAGTTTTTGCACCTAGATACTTATCGTTCTCCTTCATCTTCATCCTTCTTCAAATTGCCATCTTGCCTATTACTTGTGGTGTTTGTCACTGGGAAGGCTGCAGCCTCTTTTTCATCAATTTCCTCAAATGATGAGCCAGTATTTGCATCACTCTCCTCTCCACCAATAGATCCAGTGTCAGCAACATCTGGAGCTTCAGCAGCGTCTGCTGTATCAACACCAGTAACCACAGTTGAAGGAATTTCAGCAGGCTCGCCTGTTGTTTTGAAAGAATAAATTATTATTGATGATGATGATGATGATGATGATGATGATGATGATGATGATGATGATGATGATGATGATGATGATGATGATGATGATGATGATGATGATGATGATGATGATGATGATGATGATGATGATGATGATGATGATGATGATGATGATGATGATGATGATGATGATGATGATGATGATGATGATGATGATGATGATGATGATGATGATGATGATGATGATGATGATGATGATGATGATGATGATGATGATGATGATGATGATGATGATGATGATGATGATGATGATGATGATGATGATGATGATGATGATGATGATGATGATGATGATGATGATGATGATGATGATAAGAATGTTTATTTCTACAAGTACATATACAATATATGTAGGCCTAGCTGACATCAATGATATACTACTATATAGAAAGCCCCTTGTTAAGCAGAGCATTTTGGGCAAATTAGGTCGCTTTTGTCCCTAGGATGAGACCCACACCAATCACCTATTTTGCTGATAGGTGAACAGGGACAGCAGGTGTCTTAAGGAAACACCCATACCGGGGATTGAACCATGGACCTCAGTGTGTAAGTCGAGTGTGTTAGCAATCAAGTAAAAACAAAGCTGAGTGAATTATAAGATATCAGTTAAATGCAAGGAAGAGAAAGACAAATCAATTCCTTGCATCATGAGCCTCTCACCTGCATCAAGGAACCTTCTTTGATGGGTCAGGCATGTAATACCTTTGTGAGGGGGACAAAGAACAAAAAGAAACAAGGAAGGATTAAATCTCTAGGAAAGGTACTGAATGGGGGGGTGACAACAATGATTATATTTCTTGTCTATGTTGTCCTGAGGAGTTAAGACTTCATTATTATATCCATAATGAAGTGCCAAACTCGTAAAGATAAAACAGGTCTGTTTCTTAACAGCAACTTGAAAGTCAACACTCCACATCCAACACATTACAAAAAAGTGTCCAAAACAGTTGGCATCCTCTCCAAGAGACGTTACTATGTACCTCAAACAGCACTGCTTACAGTATGCTACACACTAATCTACCCCTACCTCACCTATGCTATTTGTGCCAGGGGATCCACAACAAGAAATCATCTCAAACCAATAGATTTAGAAAGGACATAGGAAAGTATTGGTTTGGAAATAGGGTAGTAGATGAGTGGAACAGTCTACCTAGTTGGGTTATTGAGGCTAGGACTTTGGGTAGTTTCAAATTTAGGTTGGATAAGTACATGAGTGGGAGGGGTTGGGTTTGAGTGGGACTTGCACATCAGAGCTTATTTATTGGGTAGCATTGAAAATTGGGTCGGTCAAATGCTTGTTAGTGGGATGAATTGTAAAGGACCTGCCTAGTATGGACCAACAGGCCTGCTGCAGTGTTCCTCCTTCTTATGTTCTTATGTTCTTAATAACAAGTCAACAAAAGGCAGCAGTCTTCTGCCAGACAACACCCCCCTTACTCTTCCAAGACTTAAACCTACTTACTATACAAAACATTCACTCATACTACAATAAATTCTAATATCAATCCTGGCCTGAAGCACTTCCTTGATAGTTGCAACAGAACCCAGAGGCATAATACTAGACACAAAAATCTATGACATACCCCATGTCTGGCTTAATCTTTGTAAAGAACTCAATGTGCATAAAAAGGACCAAAACTCTAAAACTTCCTGCCAGATATCTCCAGAGCCTATCTGCCAGCAGCTTCAAAACTACTATAAAAAACACCTCCTTTCCTTAATATATCCTAACAACAATTATATATTTTGTAAAGCAGTGACTGGAAATACAAAATCTTAATCTTAATTTTAGTCATTTAAATCAAATGTTTACTGACTTGAAGGAAGAGTGATGTGTAACTAACCTGTTTGAGAAAGGCTAGGAGGTGAGGTGTGTGTGGATGACTCAAGAGGAAGAGCTGGTGGTGGAGGTGGTGGTGGTGGTGGTGGTGGTGGGTAACTGGAGCTGTCATCACCTACACTCTCAGTACACTCAGAATCATTCAGCTCACCACCTGTTAGAATTAGTCCAGCCAAGAATAGTCAACTAATAACCAAAAGGATTAATTATTAAATGTAGTACAGTATACAGGCTCCGAGTAAGCATTTTATTAACAGCAAACTAAGTAAACTTTTAAATCTACTACCAAGCTTATCAAATATAACTGAAGTTAGTAAAACTGATTTTATTATTTGTTTTATACCTCGATGGATATCTCTCATCAAGGTAGGGTGACCCAAAGAAATATACATATTCACTATCATTCATTCAACTGCTGTCTTGCCAGAAGCACTGACATCATAATTCAGATTACCCTTTGACTGTAACATCCCACACCCTTCCTTAAGAATGCAGGCACTGCCCCTTTTCTTCTAAGGACTAAAGTCAGGTTAACCAGTTTCTTCTGAATCTCTTCATAAAACTTACCTTGCTTACACTCCAACAGCATGTCCATTAAAAAACCACTCTCCTTTCACTCTTATCTGACATACTCATACAATCCTACTGGATGCTGAAACCCCCTAATACTCAAAAGCCTCCTTTATCTCTTCCTCCTGCTTCCCTGGGATGACCCCATGGAAGCTAGCTCAGAACCCCTTCCTCAGCCTTCTGAATTATACCCTTGGTGACCCCAATCTTTTAATTTCTACACTCTGAACCCTCTGCATAATGTTCACACTGCACATCGATCACACACAACATCTCTGCAGCCTCTACACTTCTCAGTGCAACATTCAAAGTTCATGCCTCACACCCAGACAAGTGTTGGTAACATTAATGTTAAACCTGCACTGATCATACAGCACTTGTGAAACAAGAGAAAATCAGGTTTCATGTAAAGGGAAGGGTAACTCAAGTTTCTTGGGATGTAAAGCCATTCAAAGATCATTATTCACTATGGTATACTGCAGTATATTTAATTCCCAAGTTATATAATTTACTTGATAAAAAATCTTGCAAGGAAAAGTCCAGCAAGAAACCTGATAAAATAGAGTAACAGTGAAAGGAGAATGTTTATCACTAAGATCCAATACTCAATCGTATTTCAAAATTTGTGAATATTTTTATGGGGAATCAAATTCAAAATGGGAATTGACACAGTTACTTTTTGCTGATGATACTGTGCTTATGGGAGATTCTAAAGAAAAATTGCAAAGGTTAGTGGATGAGTTTGGGAATGTGTGTAAAGGTAGAAAGTTGAAAGTGAACATAGAAAAGAGTAAGGTGATGAGGGTGTCAAATGATTTAGATAAAGAAAAATTGGATATCAAATTGGGGAGGAGGAGTATGGAAGAAGTGAATGTTTTCAGATACTTGGGAGTTGACGTGTCGGCGGATGGATTTATGAAGGATGAGGTTAATCATAGAATTGATGAGGAAAAAAGGTGAGTGGTGCGTTGAGGTATATGTGGAGTCAAAAACGTTATCTATGGAGGCAAAGAAGGGAATGTATGAAAGTATAGTAGACCAACACTCTTATATGGGTGTGAAGCTTGGGTGGTAAATGCAGCAGCGAGGAGACGGTTGGAGGCAGCGGAGATGTCCTGTTTAAGGGCAATGTGTGGTGTAAATATTATGCAGAAAATTCGGAGTGTGGAAATTAGGAGAAGGTGTGGAGTTAATAAAAGTATTAGTCAGAGGCAGAAGAGGGTTTGTTGAGGTGGTTTGGTCATTTAGAGAGAATGGATCACAGTAGAATGACATGGAAAGCATATAAATCTATAGGGGAAGGAAGGCGGGGTAGGGGTCGTCCTCGAAAGGGTTGGAGAGAGGGGGTAAAGGAGGTTTTGTGGGTAAGGGGCTTGGACTTCCAGCAAGCGTGCGTGAGCGTGTTAGATAGGAGTGAATGGAGACGAATGGTACTTGGGACTGACGATCTGTTGGAGTGTGAGCAGGGTAATATTTAGTGAAGGGATTCAGGGAAACCGGTTATTTTCATATAGTCGGACTTGAGTCCTGGAAATGGGAAGTACAATGCCTGCACTTTAAAGGAGGGGTTTGGGATATTGGCAGTTTGGAGGGATATGTTGTGTATCTTTATATGTTTATGCTTCTAGACTGTTGTATTCTGAGCACCTCTGCAAAAACAGTGATAATGTGCGAGTGTGGTGAAAGTGTTGAATGATGATGAAAGTATTTTCTTTTTGGGGATTTTCTTTCTTTTTTGGGTCACCCTGCCTCGGTGGGAGACGGCCGACTTGTTGAAAAAAAAAAAAAAAAAAAAAAATTTTTTACGACTTCAAGAGTGTATCAGTCTGTAGTGGAAGGAAGGCGGGGTAGGGGTCGGCCTAGGAAAGGTTGGAGGGAGGGGGTAAAGGAGGTTTTGTGTGCGAGGGGCTTGGACTTCAAGCAGGCATGGGTGAGCGTGTTTGATAGGAGTGAATGGAAACAAATGGTTTTTAATACTTGACATGCTGTTGGAGTGTGAGCAAAGTAACATTTATGAAGGGATTCAGGGAAACTGGCAGGCCGGACTTGAGTCCTGGAGATGGGAAGTACAGTGCCTGCACTCTGAAGGAGGGGTGTTAATGTTGCAGTTTTATAACTGTAGTGTAAAACTCCCTTCTGGCAAGACAGTGATGGAGTGAATGATGGTGAAAGTTTTTCTTTTTTGGGCCACCCTGCCTTGGTGGGAATCGGCCAGTGTGATAATAATAAAAAATTTTCTTTTTTTTTTTGAAGAAAGAAGAAAAAGAGGATAATGAGAATTCCCTTCTTATTCCATTCTTCAAGCTGAGTTACTGGTATAATGTAGTTACGTGATACTATTCCAAGTCTTAGTTTGGAAGAATGAGAGAAATTACACAATACAGTGTGTTGCCACTATGCATGGTGAATTATCTTATTTATTTATGTACTCATTAAAACTGTTAGTGAGAAAACTTTACATTTATTTCTACTTTATTTCCATTACATTACAGTGGACCCTCAACCAATGGCATTAATCCGTTCCAGAGAGCTAGCCTTCAGTCAAATTTGCCGTTAGTCGAATTAATTTTCCCCATAAGAAATAATGGAAATAGAATTAATCCATTCCAGAAACCCAAAAGTATTAAACGAAATATTTTTTTTTTACATGAAATATACATTTTCCTACACAAAAACGAATGGGACATGCAAAATAAACAATAATTAAATTCCACTTACCTTCACTGTGGAGTTGTTGATGAGTGATGAGACGGTAGGAGGGCAGATGCTGCAGGTGTTCTATTGTTTGGAAGGGGAATCCCCTTCCATAAAGACTTCAGGCACTAAGTCCTTTGCTGGGATTACCTCCCTTCTTGGTTTTTTAATGCCGCTAGGACCAGCTTGAGAGTCACTGCACCCCTGTCGCACCAAAAAATCTGTCCAGAGAGCTTTGTTTCTCACGTGCCCTTAGGATTTCCCTAAAATGGGACACAAGAGTGTCATTGTACATGTTGCCAATATGGCTTGCAACAGCTGTGACAGGATAAAATTCATTGATAAATGCTTGCACATTTGTAAACTTTGTACACATTTCCTTAATCCTTGACAAAGTCATCTTCCTCCGTCTCTCTTCCTCCTGCTCTGAAGAACATTCCTGAGATGTGATCTGTTGCTGTTGCCCCTGAGGCTCTTGCAGGTCCAAGATAGTACTGAAGGTTGAATGGGATTTGTTGTATAGCCTTTCCAACTCGGATATACGCACTCCACTTTCGTATTTTTCAACGATCTCTTTCTTAATTTCCATCGTAATTCTCACCCTTTTTACCACAGGCTTGGCACTAGAAGCTTTCATGGGGCCCATGGTGGCTTATTTCGCAGTTACAAGCACTAAAAACACTGGAATAATACAAAATACATCGCAGGTACAAGTGGAATCGACCACAACGGCTTGTAAACAATGGCACACTGAATATTGGAGTGGCTGGGCCCAATCAAGCCGCGCTCTGGCCGCATGAACACATTCGAGCGGAACGCCGTTAGATGAGTTTTTCGCCATTAGACAAATTTGCCATTACCTGATGCCACCATTGGGCAGGGGTCCACTGTATTTCCATTATGAATGATGCAATTATTCAGATGCTTGAATTACTATACAGTGGACCCCCGAAGTTCGTCCAGTGCGGAAATCGCACAATTCAAATTTTGACCACTTTTTTCAATGAAATTTTACCCTGGGTTTTGTACATCTGCTCGGAAATCATTCGTACCAGATGCATCCGCCTGGGCTGCTCATACGTTCGTGACTCACTCTCGGGCACATTAAATGTCTTACTTTACATTAATATAAACATTTTCATTAATCCAGCTATGATATAGCATACAGTGGCCACAAAAAAAATAAATCTATACATTAAAAATTTTTGGACAATAAAATGAAAAAATGCAACTTAATGTATGTACATGTATTTTATTTTCACTTTTTAGCTTCCAACTAGTACTTGGTCATGTTACCATTGTTCTTTATCACCATCTGAAGTCACCTGGGCATCAAAGTGGTGAGGGTGGAGAAGAGGGAGGCGTCCATGTTGATCCAAAACTTCTTCAGTGCCTCCTTCAGGTCTGTGAAGTCGGTGGCTCCAGCTTTTGCAGTTTAATTTTTCATCACATGCCAGGCATTCTCGATAGGATTTAGGTCAGGGGAATTGCCTGGCCACCCCAAAACACTGATACAGTGGACCCCCGCTTAACGATCACCTCCAAATGCGACCAATTATGTAAGTGTATTTATGTAAGTGCGTTTGTACGTGTATGTTTGGGGGTCTGAAATGGACTAATCTACTTCACAATATTCCTTGTGGGAAAAAATTCGGTCAGTACTGGCACCTGAACATACTACTGGAATGAAAAAAGTTCGTTAACCGGGGGTCCACTGTATTATTGTCCTTGAGGAACTTTTTCTTATGGGCAGGGGCACCATCATGAATAAAAAAAATCACACTAGTGAATGTTCCAAAATGTCAGCATGTGGTCCCTTAACACTTCTATATAATTACTTCCCTTCATCGTAATGTTCTTAGGCAGAAAGTATAGTCCACCTCTGCCCTT